AGTTAAGGTAGTTAATATTCCGCTAAAATGAACCGTATGCGTTTCGACGCCATTTTACGTCCGTTGAAGGCGAACGACACGTCGATCTATTCCTGTCGACGAGCTCCACACGATGCGCCAAACAAAGCTTCGAAGTTTTGTTTCTTCCGCGCATTCTTCCTCGCCGTTGCGCCTGGACGACGTGGCAACAGAACGATCCGCGCAAGGCGGGTCGCGGCGTTGGTGTGCGCGGTGGGACGGAGACGCCAAAAACAAATTAATTCATTACCATTTTGACTTCCGTTTATTCAGGACCCCGGGGTCCCGCCATAAGGTTCAAATAGGGCATTACATTAATTAATTTCATATACTCCATCCGTAATACTAGTTGGCTGTGTCGGGTGGTGGCGGGTTTTAACGACACATTTATATATTTACACGATCCAACCCAAAAAACCTCTATCATGGATGATATTGGTCGCGAAAGCCAACGTGTTAAACTCATATACTGCCTATCCTGTGGTCAATATTAATAAAATGCCAACCAATTTTTCAGGGTCTCAAGGGGAGGGGGAGAGGCGAGGGGGGAGGGGTACGGAATCGCCCCCCCCCCGCCCCCTCCCTCTCTTCCCCCATGGAGCCGCCACTCGATCGCTGCTCGGCGGTGATGATGCTGCTCAGGCCGCTGTGTTGGGGCCGGCGCCGCGTGTTGGGGTACCGGCCGAGAGAACGCCGACGCCGCTCGACTCGGGAAGCCCGCTGGGCCGCTGGGCCCGGTGAGCCGCTGGGTCCGGTGAGCGTGCGTCAGCAGCGCTGGCTGACTGCGGTGAATAGCCTGTCACGTTGAAGCTAACCAATGTTTCCCGAACGACAGGAACTATTTGCCTCTTTTTGCCTCTGTGCTTCTTATCCTTATCGGCGGCCAGATGGTTTTGGAGGTAGAGCGAGCGACCACTCCCCCCCCCCCCCCCACCCCCCCCCCCCCCTGCAATCGGAAGGGTTGCAGGTTTAAATCCCGGTTGGGGGTTGACAGCCGAGTGATCCACTTGAAGCTCATTGGAAACAATCGCCCACTTTGTTCTCTCCTGTTTCAGGAGCCTGCCCCCGCCAAACGGGACGTGGAATATCCACCACGGGCTAAGGATTTGTAAACGAGAATTGAACGCGTCACATCAATGCTCACGTGAGCAGCAAATCACTTGGTCCCTTTGGGGGCGAGATGCCTCTTGGCAAGACACAGAGGAGGCGCACGGAGACTCGTGCGGCTGCACTGGATAAGGGGCTGCACCCTTACCGGGTAGGTAATCGACGAGACGTGCTCTCTTGACTAACGTGCCGAAGTATGTCAATTCCCCCCACACATCCCCCCCCCCCCCCCCAAGTGCCCACCGCACCCCCACGAGCGATGCACCCAAACCGCCGCAAACAGCGGCCACCCGAGCCGATCGAAACGTCGGCAGGTACGGCGCACACAGCGCGTCCCCCGTGCCACGCTTTGCACACGGAGCACGGTCAAAAGGCGAGACGATTCGTAACGGAAGGTTTTCATACTCTCTGGTTCTTTAGGTAAAGTCACGTAGGTATAAAATAAATCACGACGTTTCGGCCACAACACAAGCGTCCGTCATCAGGTGGGAAAGCCGTGGTCTGCTGATGACGGACGTTTGTGTTGCGCCCGAAACGTCGCGATTTATTTTATTTTTCTACCCACCTGACTTTAACCGAAAGAACCAAAGAGCACGGATTCCTGCAGTCACGAAGGCTTCAAATCAAGATTGAAAGGTTTTCACTTGAGGGTTAGAGGTCGCGCAAGTGCGTCGTTAACCCACCACCCACCCGACAACAGACAACTCGTAAGGTTTGCCACGGGAACAAAACGTGCCGATCGGCTATTTCTTCAGCGCACCGTCCGCCGTGCTGCGACGGCGAGCGTGATTCGAGTCGCGTGACCTTTTCGCTGGTGGTCACAAGCAGCTTCGTCGGGCGACTTTTTGTTTTCTCCCCAGGATTGTCAAGAAGTCGTCCTGCTCGCGGTCTTTTATCGTCAAGCGAGGCGCGCACGAGGCGCGCCTCGCGGAGAGATGCCACGTGCCAGCGCCGTCACATGGCTATATCGAGGTTGCGCGTGATAGCGACTGCTGTACCCACGCTATGAACAATTCATTTTTATTTGACAAGGTAAGGCCCACTGAAGCTATGTAGCTCTTTTGCCAGAAGCGATTTGGCAACAAGTGATCGCTCAACAACGTGGCATAGCATCGTGTTGAAATGTATAGCAGCCAAATATTCTAAACGCGTGACGTTGGTTCTAAATGTGGAGGGAAAAACCGGAGGACCAGGAGAAAAATCCACGTGACCACGGGGAGAACACAATATACAGCAGGTGTCAAGGGTCGTGATCGAACCCACGACCTCCTGTATACCAAGCGAGGTAGTTAACGTCTCCTAGCCACCGTGGCGCCATACAGGGCCAGAAGGACCAAGGCCTACCTGGCCGCAGAGGGGATAGTGGACTGGAATTGGGCAGAGGAACTTAGAGGCAGGGTCACCTCATCCTGGTCCCCTCCACTTCTCCCCCCAGGATTCGCCCTCCTGTTGAGGTAGCTGTCCAGAGAAATCTTTAAGTGTTCCGATGAGCACGGTTGGCTACGTTCTGGTGCGAAATGAGGTTCAACGGGTCCGTACTTACGCACATGACATCGGCAATTGTGGTAAGTAATGCGCCACGCGAGGCAATACAATTCGCAAGTGCTTCTCTCCTCTCCTAGTGTCGTGAGATATCACAATACCATTGTCTCCTTCCAATGAAATGTTCCACTGGAGGTGATGGCCCATTGGGAGCCCTAAAGCAGAAATAAATAATAATAAAATTGGGGGGGGGCTAGGCCCCCCTTTCGAGACGACATGAGAGATTTAGACAAAGGGATGGAGATATATATAGCGAGAGGGAAGTAATTTAGATGTCGTCGTGGGTAGTGAAAAGAGAAAGAAGCAAAGAGACAGAAGGGTCCGTTAGATGAGATGGATTTGAACGAAACGGGGAGCGAGAAGCAAGAAGAGAGATGCAGTGCACCCACTGTTCGGTCTTAAGAGCCCCTTAAGCCACCGGGGGCCCTGAGCCTTTACCCAGTTTGCCCCTCCACCCAGGACCCCACCCCCCCCCCCACGACCCTCCACCCCACCCACCGCCCGTGCCAACCGCGACAACGCCAACCAGGCCCTCGTGCCACCGGGCCCTCCTTTGCGTGGGCCGTGCCGCGGAGTCCGCGGGGAAGAGGCCCTTGGGTCGCTTTGCGAGCCCCCCCCCTCCGCCCCGCTCCGAGGGCCGTGCAGGGCGGTGCACAGGGGACCGTGGGCCCGAGATGGAGGTGAGGCTCCCGAACGTTCTGGTGGGGTCCAGAGGGGGCCGAGAGGGGGGGCCCAGGTGCCCCCGGGCTACGACGAGGCGGAGGTTGGGCACGGGGCAGGCCCCTGACCCCCCCTACCCCCCCCCCCCCCCCACCGCGTTGTTCTCTGCCCACCAGCACGGTGGGGTGTGGGCTTCCCGCGGAGTGTCGGACACTGCTCACGATCCCCGTCGGCGCTCTGCCATTGCAGTCGGAACAGTCGTGCAAAAGCTGGTCGGGGAATTGTTTGTTGGCGCGGCAAGTGCCTCTCTCATCGTGGTGTGCGCACGTGCGTGGTGTGTGCACGTGTGTGTGTGTGTGTGTCTGTGTGTGTGTGCGTGTGTGTGTCTGTGTGTGTCTGTGTGTGTGTGTCTGTGTGTGTGCACGTGTGTGTGTGTCTGTGTGTGTGTGTCTGTGTGTGTGTGCGTGCGTGTGGATAGTGTCGCGGTTAGCGCTACGCCGCGCTTCGAACCTGGCGACCCCGGTTCGATTCCCGCTCACGGCCAACACCGGTGACGATTATCTGAACCGGTCCTGGGCCTCCCCTAGGTCGACTCAGCCTCAAATGAGTACCTGGTGCGGTGTGTAAACATCGCCACTAGGGAGATAAAGGCGGCCGGGCATGGTGCTTGGCACCCACGCACCCTCCTGTGCTGTTCCAGCCATCATAGATGCTCGCTAATAGTACTTGCCCCAACAGTCTGTTCAGGTTACACGGGGGGGATCTTTGTCTTTGTATGTGTGTGCAGTGGTGTGTGTGGTGATGTATATGTGTGAAATGGTGTGTGTGTGTGGTCTATGTGACTGTGCGGTGGTGTGTACGTGCGTGTGTCTGCAGTGGTGTGTGCGGTGTATGTGTGTGTGTGTGTGTGCGGTGGTGTGTGTGTGGTGTCGACTCAGCCTCAAATGAGTACCTGGTGCGGTGGATAAAAACATTGCCACGAGGGAAAACAAAGGTGGTCGGGCGTGGTGCTGGCCACCCACCCCCTCGTGTACCGTTATGGCCTTCATAGGTGCTCGCTAACAGCACTTGCCCCTCCAGTCTGTTAAGGCTATACGGGGGATTTTTGTCTTTGTCTTGTGTGGTGTATGCACGTGTGTATGCCGTGATGTGCAAATAACCGCGCGTGAATAGTGAAGTGGTTAGGGTCACCAGATGCCGGGTAGAATAATGCAGGATTACCGTGCATAGGTCTACCTTGTACTCAAGTGGTAGTGCAGGTAATTCCTACTACACGGCAGCCTCGCATCGATCTGGAAAAAAGCTGTGATAAATGAAGCCCTGCATTTACCCGAAGCAGCAGTCCCTCGGTTAACAGTGACATCGGTTAACGGTTTTTCGTTTCGCGTTTCGCGTCCCATAGGAGCCCATGGTTTCGGCTTGACGCTAACATTGTTGAGTAACGGTACTGGGGTTTACGTCATGCACGTGGGGCGCCAATGACGGCCAATCCGAGCGCTCGTAAGCGGGGCCGTGCCGCGCCCTCGGCCAATCATCGACGCCCATTCGTGAGCATCTAGACATCGACTGGGCTTTGTTTTGCGTTACGTTTTCTGCTTTGGGCAGTGGAAAATCAGCTCTCTTGCAAACTCGGCGATTTCTGTTAAACGTTTTTTTTTTTCAACTTATAAGTGAATTCGATTAACTGTTATTTCGGTTCACGGTAGTTTTCGTGGAACGGATATATATTTTTAAAAAAAAACGTCAACCGAGGGACTACTGCCCTCTGTCTCGCCTCTTTTTATTGTTAAACTACACTCGTCGAGCGGAGGCGGAAGAGGAGGAGGAGCAGGAGGAGCAGGAGGAGGCGACGGTGGGGTGGCGGTGGGACTGGCGGCAGCGGTGGCGGTCAGGCGAGCGCGTACTCGAACTGGCCCTTCTCGAGGCCGTCGATGCCGTCCGTCCACGTGGACGAGGGCATGCTGTTGTAGGGGTCCAGCAGGATCCGGAAGCAGCGCACGATGAGCACGCCGAGGAAGACGAGCAGCAGCGCCACGCAGCAGAACGCCGCCTTCTGCTCCAGGGTGAGCGACGGCACGGGATGCGGCCCGCCGCCCGCGCCAATGATGCCGCCGCCGCCGCCGACGCCGACGCCGCCGGCGGCGCCGCCAACGGACTGGGCCGAGGAGGAGGCGCCGCCGTGGTGGAGGCCGGCCGGGGAGGCCGTGAAGGCGTCGCCGGCGCCCATGGAGGAGCGGAGGGACGCTGGCGATGAGGAGGCTCGGAGTTCGCAGAGAGCGAGCAAGACGAGCATAGCTCGGCTCCCAGGGGTGGCGAGAGAGAGAGAGAGAGGGAGAGGGAGCCTGCACAGCACGGGGAGGGACGAGCGTCAGGGCGGGGTGTCTTGGCATCGTCGTCAGCAGACGGAATATTTAACCTCGGTTTGATCGTCTCTCTCGCTCTCCGAAAGCAGCCCAAGCCTCCTGCGAGTCACGCGACTTGTGTGTGGCCACGCCACCTCTGAATCCCTCCCCCTCTCACCTACACGTCTCCACGTGTCTCGATCTAAATCAGCTCAAGCCTGCCGTACATCACGTGATTTCCGCACCTCCGATTGGCATGGTTGGCTACGTACAGTGCGAAAGAAATTCAACGTACATACATACATACATTTCTGCATGGCCACCCCCGCTCTGTATCCCTCCCCTCTCATCTACACTTCTCTGAAGCAGCTCAAACCTCCCGTACGTCACGTGACTACTGTGTGGCCACCACCCCCACTATGAAACCGTCCCCTCTCCCCGCACCCCGCCCACTGTGAAAACAGACTCCGCTCTGTGCAGCAGCAGCAGCACCATCGAGTCCCTGATGGAGCCGCTCCTTCTGCCCTCTCCTCACCTTGCTTGACCCCTCCTGCTCCCATTCCTGCGTTCCTTTTCCATCCTCCTCCTCCTCTCATTTCCCATGATTTGTCTTCTGTCTTCCATTTCCTGTAACTTTTGTTTTTATCTTTGCATACATTAAAACGTACCCGTGACTGTAAAACATCAACATTTCATAGCGTCATTCATGCCATCAGCATCCCACAACGCTGTACATTAATTCTATACGAGGAACAAATTCGTGTCGTACGCGGTTGGCTACGTACGACACGAAAGAAGCCCAACAAAGACAAAGATACCCCTGTAGCCTTAACAGATTGTTGGGGCAAGTGCTGTTAGCAAGAACCTATGATGGCTGGCATGGCACACGAGGGGGTGGGTGGCCAGCACCACGCCCGGCCGCCTTTATCTCCCCAGTGGCGATGTTTACACACCACACTAGATACTCATTTGAGGTTGAGTCGACCTAGGGAAGGCCCAGGACCGGTTCAGATATCGTCAATGGTGTTGGTCATGAGCGGCAATCGAGCTCGGGTTACCAAGTTCGTAGCGCTGTGCACTGACCGCTACACTACCGCTCCCAACACACACGGACACACACACGCACACACACACACACGCACACACTCACGTACCAAGCAAATGAAAACCCCTACTACCAATCTTGATTTGAAGCTTTCGTGACTGCAGGAATCCATACTCTTTGGTTCTTTCGGTAAAGTCACGTAGGTGTAAAATAAAATAAATCACGACGTTTCGGGCGCATGTTTTCCCACCTGATGATGGACGCTTGTGTTGCGCCCTACTATCAAGCAAAATAAAAAAAGGAATAAAGAAATGAATAAACGGCACAAAAACAAAAAGCACAAACAGCATTGACTGCAACGGCCATGGCAATGCCTCAGATTTGGCCGAAGGTTCACTGCTCTGTATAGAGCTCCTGTCACAGTCGTTTGACTGTGGGATTTTTTTTTTGTATTGCACAGGTGGCGATGAAGGTGGCGGAGATGAGGCTTGAAGTTTACAGAGTATGACCAACCAAATGATCTCCGCTCAGCTCGGGGGGTTGGGGTGGGGGGGGTGGAAATGGGAGAGGGAGCGTGGAGGGAATGCTTGTCAGGGTCAATTCGAGGGGATGAGGGTCAATTTATTATTGGCGTCATCGTTACACATCAGCCATGATCCACATCTTGAGTGTCTATATCTGATCATTAGTAGGGCTGAGAGTGAGGTGGGGTATAATTATGCTTGCGTTAAGGGGTGTCCTTTGTAGGACAGTCTACCCATTTCAAATATCTACATATTCGGATGTCACGCGGAGCAGTGAATTACCCTGCGTTAGAGAATGACCCGTGGACTTGGATATCACAGAAGTAGTCCTGAGTTCACTTGGAGTGGCCTCTTATCCACACCGTGCACAGCAGTCGCTCATCTGACCTGGCTATAGACAGCTGTTTATTGCATGTAAGTCAGAATAGAATTACATTTTTTTAATTCTCAAGTGCTTGCATTTTTTTGGGGTTGTGGCCAAAATTAATTTTCTGTGGGTGTTTGTTGTTGTTGTTTAAGTCCAGTCAGTTGTGATTGGCTGAGCCCAACAACTCACTACATTTCCAAACACCTGGTTTAACCAGAGCGTGGCCGAAACCCAGATTCTAAGCCAGGATAATTTTTTGAGCGATTCGAGTCAACTTCTCATAATCTCAGAGCCACCCGACGTCCTCCCAAATGGACTTTAAAATATTTTAATTCAAGGACTTCTGTATGATGGGCGCAGGTGCTAAAGACTAAGCGCCAAATTAGCCCGCGTTGGAAAGGGCACCATTGGTTTAAATAGGCCTGAAAAGGTCCCGGAGGCAAATTAAAAGGCATTTGGAAGGTCGGAGCGGCAAATTGAAAGACGCTAATAATAACACTGAAACAATTTTTTCCTGGGTAGTAAGTGTTATTTCCAAATTGCTTATGCCTCAAAAGTATACAAAATGGCTATCATTCCCCACAAACTTTGCTTTTGTGACCTGGACATTGATATTTTGAAATTTACCTATTTTCCAGAACATTCCAGATAAATTCAGTGCGGAGTATACTTGAAGTAACTTCTAGAACATTCTAGAACTTTCCAGTAATATAAATAGTAGTATAAATACAGGGGCCTTAAGCCCACCAGTTCAGTTCACTTCAGTTCCAGCTGCCTAAGTGGATACATTTCTGCATTTTTCTGAGATGGCATCAAGAGGCTGCAAGCATCCGGCAGACGCATGTTGCTATGTCTGCGACCAATTTATCAAGACAAGAGCGAAAGAGTACTCTGTGTAAGCATCTGCTAAGATGTGTGAGGCCTATAAGGCATATGTCGGCATGCCTGTCGGGGATCAAGGCAAACCCTGGGCACCTCATTTCACCGGCAAGCAATGCAAAAAAACTTTGGAAGGTAAGATGGAAAATTGTTGCTCGGAATTTTATGTTATAAAATTTGTTACAATTTTTTTAATTGTAAAAGGTTTTTTCATTTAAAAACATTGAAAAATATATATCGTATATGAAAAATGTTGCGAGAATCTCTTACACATTAGTCATGGGTGAAATAAATTTATTTTTGTAGGATGGTACAGAGGAGAAAAGAGAGCCATGAAGTTCGCTATCCCAATAATTTGGCGGGAACCCACTAACCACTCAAGCGACTGCTACTTCTGCATGGTGGACCCTTCCAAACCTCAGACTGGCAAGAATGCACCTGCTATCATGTATTCGGACTTTCCTTCACCCATCGCCCCGGTGCCACACTGCCATGAGCTCCCCATACCCACTCCTCCGGAGAGAGAGCAGCCGTCTTTAGAAGAGAGCAGCAAGTCAGAGAGTGATGAAGACGTTGTAGATCCAAATGACAATTTCAAAGGTGGAGCTGAGGAGAGAAACCCATGCTACCCCAACCAAAAAGACCTCAACGACTTGATCAGAGATCTTTGTCTCACCAAGTCCAATGTGGAGCTTTTGACGTCTCGGCCCAAGCAGTGAAACTTGTTGGATGAAAGTGTGCAAGTCACGATGTGACCAGTCTATTCGAGGCAATCGGAATCGCCTGTAACCAGAATGAGTGGTGGCTCTTCATTGATAGCTCATCTAGGATCCTCAAAGCCGTGCTGCTCCCGCATGGTAACAAGTACCCGTCTCTTCCCCTGGCTCACTCGGTGCACCTCAAAGAGGATCGCAACAGCATCAAGACCTTGCCGGAGTACGGCTGGGAGGTCATCGGAGACCTCAAAATGGTGGCATTCCTGATGGGTCTCCAAGGCGGTTTTACCAAGTTTCCCTGCTATATTTGCTTTTGGGACAGCAGGGACACCAAGGCGCACGACCACAGGCAGGACTGGCCACAGTGGATCGAGTTCTCTGTGGGGCGGAACAACGTCAAGTGGGAGCCACTAGTTGACCCCAGGAAGGTGCTGATGCCACCACTGTACATCAAATTGGGCCTTGTGAAACAATTTCTCAGAGCTGTAGATAAGGAGTCGGTAGCCTTCAAGTACCTTCAAGACTTCTTCCCTAAGCTGCCTGAGGCAAAGGTCAAAGCCGGTGTATTTGTCGGACCACAGAAAAATAAGATCCTGGAGTGCAATGAATTCCCCAAGAAGCTCACTAGTAAAGAGAAAGCGGCTTGGAACAGCTTTGTCGGAGTGGTTCGTGGCTTCCCGGGCAGTCGGAAACTAAGTGGAGCTGGTTGAGACTCTGGCAAAGAACAACGGCACAATGGGCTGTAGGATGTCCCTCAAAGTCCATATCCTTGATGCTCATCTTGATAAATTCAAGGAGAACATGGGATCGTACTCGGAGGAACAAGGTGAGCGCTTCCACCAGGATATACTGTTGTTGTTGTTGTTGTAACGTACTGACCCACCCCTACTGGACGTCTGCGAAAAAGAGCTATATGGCTCATTTGATTCCTCCTCCGGCATAAATAAATATTCTGATTCTGTAAGTCGTTGTTGGCCATGGCCAGGAATCAAACTCGGGTTGCCCTAATTTACCGCCTTACTGGACCGTTAATCGGCAGGCAGCGTTAATGCCGCACTTGACTGTAGTCGATCGGCAGGAGCTCATCGTACACACGATGCCTATAATCCACAGCGGCAGCTTCCAACACGACCACGGGTCAGGCAGGATGGTTCCGCAGAGAAAAAAATTACGTGCAATGTTCACGGTTCTGCGCGCAATTATTTTGCCTTCTTTCTCCATGCCCTCCGGCGTTCCGTCATATTTCTGCGGTCGCCTTCATCACGCTCCTTTATCACTGCACAATCGTCTCTGATTTTATACTTTCTCTCCGTTCTCTCCATTGTTCCTCACTGTCTTGTCCTCTCCACCCCGCCCCACTGCTTCTTCCTTTGTCAACCCGGTGTCTCTCCCCTTCCACCCCCACCCCCCATCTCTGGCAGTTGTAAATTTCACACTTCGGGAAATTGCAATTGAAACAAAAAAATGGCACAAACCCAGCATAAAATGAAATACCAATTAACACCTCGACAGTCGATTTTGTGTTTTTTTTCTTTCAAATTTTAAATAAAAACCCTAGAAATATCCTTTCCATGCGTCTCATGAATAATCAGAATTTTTTATCAGAATATTTATTTATAATGCAGGAATCCGACGAGCTATAAAGCTCTTTTTCCACAGATGTCCAGCAGTAACGGAACGCATCTGAGAGGACGTCCAATTGAGTTGGCTGGCTCGGGGAGGATTTCATGCAGCAGTGGATTGAGCACGGCTGGTTTAAAGTGATGCCGCTCAGCCTCACACCCGGATCCTCCACATCGACAGCTTAGCCCGTCGAGCGGATTGCAACTCCAGGTGGTTGGGGAGGCTACCAAGTCCACCCCTGGTCTTCCGTTCGCACGTGATGACGCGCGCAACGCGGATTCACTGAGAAACTGGAACGTTCTGGCGAGTGTCTTCATCAACAACCTCTCACGCTGAGATCCATAGACTTGCATAGATCCACAGACTCGCACTCGTGAACACCGCAGACTCCTCTGGAGACCCACTGAGAGACAGACAGTGGCTTCTGACAAAAGATAGCCCACAGATTCCCATAGCATCCGCTCGGCCGACACCGAGACCCGCAGACTCACGTACAGACCCACGGAGAAACTGGCACGCGCTGCCATCGGCGCTTTCTCCAGCGGATGGGGGGTGGGGGGGAGCTCACAACCCCACGCAGCGTCCCATGGGAACCGCTCTGATGGAGCCCATCAGGTGTACATGATGTATGTTGAACTTCTTTCGCACCGTACATAGCCAACCGCGCTAATCGGAGGTGCGGAGAGAGGGAAGGTCAACCAAACCGAACACAAGATCAATCAGTTTTCAATCCGGATTGTTTAAAAATGCTCAGCTCCAGTGGCTTCGTAACATCGGAAGGGGAGAGCGTTCCAGACGGCCGCAGGAGCGCCATGTGAAAGCGCCGCGACGTGCGGCGGTCATCGTCTTCGTTGGATGGCCGAGCCATGAGCGGCCGCTGCTGCGAGGATGACCACCGGAGTTCAGGTCGTGGTAATGGTTCATGCTCCTTGACGAGATCAGCAAGGAGTGAGCCATCATCGTCATCGTCATCGTCGTCGTCGTCGCACGCTGCCTTTTGCGTTCCGATGATCGGTAAAGTTAACCCTGCGCGTGGTTATCACCCGAGACGGGAACACCCCGAGGTCGACTTTTCCTGGCTCCCCAACCCGGAGCCAGGAAAGTAATGGGTGTGATAATTGAATTGGCTGCCTTTGATCAATACCGTATTATGTTTCCACGATGGGTCATTGCCCGTTGAACGTGTGGACCCAGTCAACGGTTCACTCTTTTTTATTTATATTTTTTTTCTTGGGGGGGGGGGGGGGGGGGGGAGTCTGGAATCATTTCTACTCTGCAGTGCGTTCGCCGATTATTATTATTTTTGTTATTTTTTTCACACGCTCACGCTGCAAAGTAAAAAGAAAAAATGCCGTTTCGACACGGGAGGAGTCGGCGTCGGCCGAAAAAATAAGCGCACGGCCAAAGGCGGATCTGGGAAGGGGGGGGGGGGGGAAATGACCAAAGACGAATATCGGTAAAATTGGCAACGTTCTGGGTTTTTGGTGGTGGGTGGGAAAGGGGGGGGAGTATGCCCCCCCTCCCCACTACCCCCTCCTCCCACTAGTCCAACTCCCCCCCCCCCCCTCCGAGTGTTTAATTGCGTCTTGCAACCCACCCGTGCTTAATTTCAGTTGAGATAAAGTCCGGAATTGGAATGCTGCTTATGGTTATATTTTAACATTATTATATATCTTTATATTAGTATTAGTATGGTGGTGGTGGTGGTGGTTATAAGCCCGTCCATATGATTTCAGGAACATCGGGTAACAATTATGGGTGCGACTTTCCGAAAGAACCAAAACGATGCATCGAATCGCTCGATGTGCTTAAAATAAAAATAACAAAAAAATAATCCAAGTTCACTCGTGACACGTCGGAAAGGTGAGCGGGGCTAAAGGTGGACGGGGCTCGGATGAATGACCGTGGCGATCAGGTTGTTAGCTGGCTGCGGAGGAGATTTTAGCGGTGGGCAGCTGAGGCTGCTGTTGTCGGGTGGTGGCGGGTTTTAACGACACATTTATATATTTACGCGAGCTAACCCAAAGAAAAAAACCCCTCTACTATGGATACTGGTCGCGAGAGCTCACCACGTGTTAAGCTGAGCCAAGCGCAGCGATTCCTAGGCCCTGCGCTTTTAACCCGCACCCTACTGAGCTTTCGTCAGCTTCACCGAAGCACACCGCCCAGCGTGGTGAAGTATGGTCAAGTTAGCTCCGACGACACGCACGGGGTGCCGTGGAGGTGGGAGATACCCGTCCAGCAGTAGATTGCCGAAAGGGCTGTGCGCGTGTATATTGTGAAACAGCAGGGGAACCAACTCTAAGCTCCGTAACAGAGGTTTTGGGGTTGGATCGCGTAAATATAAATCTGTCGTTCAACCCGCCACAGCTAATTAGTAGCAGAGTTTGTCATGTAAACACAACATGCCAAATCGTACTTGTGCAGCACACCGGTGTTTACTAGTTTGCAAATGTTGTGGGTTTACTCTCAAACTACATCGGTGTGCACGACTCGTAACGAATTGTCACGTTTTGTTCACGTGACAAACCTTGCTAATTGGCTGTGTCGGGTGGTGTAGGGTTTAACGACGCATTTATATTTACGCGATCTAACCCAAAAACTCTATTATGCATAACATTGGTCGCGAAAGCCACTAACTCGAAGCGACCTCCACAATTCCCCACGTGACCCAAAGGGTTGTTGATGGATTTTTAGCCTGGGAGAGATTTTCTGTTTGTTTGAAATATTTGGGACTCAATTCTCATTGTGTCCAGAGTTCAGATGACTATAATTGGATGCTTCTCCGGCAATACGCTCCGCTCACGATCAGGAGCATGGCAACCTCCTGGACACTTTAAAAAAAGAGTACAGAGACTTAGATGTCCGTGGGTAAACAACTATTGTTAAATGATTGTCATAATTATAACTATTATAATTATTCTAATAATTCCATACGCTTTCGGCACCGATTTTTTATTCCCTTCTGTGTATACGTACACTCGTCATAAAGTCGATACGTATATAACTATCGGCATAATCTACGTTGATGCACATTGAGCTTTTGCAAATCGGACATATGCCGATACCAGCCCAGTTCGATTCCTGACCACGGCAGTTAACCCCCTCCCCGCCCGTCTCGCATACCACCACCAAACCACCTTCGCCGCTAACACCAGCGCGGTGAAGTATGGCCAAACGACCCGTGCGGGTGTACAGACGCCCCTCATAGTCCAGCAGTGGAGAGACTAAACTAACACCTCGGGATGGTTACATTCGCAACACACGAGACGTCCCGGCAACTCTAATCCCAAAGCCGCGACGCAGAACGCGAAAAATAAAAGCCGACACTGCTGAGTCAGTCGAAGCAATTTAAAAGCAATTGGCTTTGTTGCTTCGTCGTCGTTGTTGCTTTAAATAACAGACACAGCATTTCTTTACTCGCTGCGCATGATTCAAATGCAATAAGGCCGTCGTCTCGCTGTGCCCTGTATTGAAGCGAGGAAGATTCCAGAGCCTCTCCTAACGATGCCAATGTCTCACGCGACTGATGATGACACCAATATTTAAGCGGTACACTTAACGCAGCTATACATTCACGTGTTTAAAAACAATTTTTTTTTAAAACAAACCATGAAGAGTACTTACTTATTTCGCAGTGTTCATCGCATGGACGTCGCTCTGTCTTCTCTTGCAATGATGATGATAGTGATGGTGGTGGTGATGGTGGTGGTATGAATGAGATATTGCACAGAGTAGAAAGCAGGCGTGGCCCGACTCCTCTGCTTGCGATGCCAGTGGGTTTAATGCGAGGGGCAGAGCCGGGGGGAGAAGGGGAGATCTGATCACATCTCTGTCGTCACAATCACCATCACCACCCACTAACCACCCACCATCATATTAACACGCCACTCCAGAGTTGTTGTTGATGCCAATCAAATGTAGCATCTCCCGAGAGGGCGCGCGCGGAGACACAACAACAACAACAACAAATTATCTCCCGACAAGCCACACGGACTATTGTGGGCGGGGCGGGAGCCGGGGGAAGACAAAGACGGCCAGACCTCGATTGTTGTGGCAACGGCAACAACAACAGCAACCCGTGTCTGCCTTCTTAATCGGCGCACGCTTAACAGCACTCCCGCGCGGACACTCACAAGATCCCGAATATCGCCTTACGTGAGGCTGTCCGGGAGGGCGAGTGCTGTTAGCGGGCTCCCATTAAAGCCCCGTACACGGCACACTAAAGACAAAATCCCCCCCCCCCCCGTATAGCCTCGACAGACTGTTGGGGCAAGTGCTGTCAACGAGTAGCAACCGATTTAAATGCGATGTACGGGCGAACGCACGCGCTCCCTTGCCTCTCTCGCTCCGTCTCTCACGCACGCACGGTGATGTATAAATAACTTACTCCGGGAGGCTTGCGAGAGGCGAACTAACGCTGACGACAATGGTTCGTTCGAACAATAGCCGAGAAGTTCCCCCCCCCCAACCCACGCCCACGCCTTAATTAGCCACTGTGACACGAAGATCCTTCTTGCCTGGGTCGCCTCCTCGTCCTCCTTGTCGTCGTCCTCGTCGATCTCCTCCTATGTCTCTCCTCCTCCTCCTCGTCTCGTCTCGCCGCTGTTGACGCACGCTACAGGTGCCGCCGGGTGGAGAGGCGAGGCCGCACACTTCGAGAGGCGACGGACGGCGCGAGGCGTGGGCGCGCGTGAATCGCCGCGCATGCTAACGGGGGGGTGGGGGGTGGTGGTACCCCCCCCTCCATCCCTACTCCCCCTCCATCCCTCCTCCCCCCAATGGGGTGGGGGGGGGGGTCCCCCGGGTGGGGGCCCCCCCCCGCCACCCCCGCCCTTCCCCGCCCCTCCCCCAGGCACCGCCCTCACCCCCTAGCACACTCACCACTACACTCACCACTACACTCACCACTACACTCACCACTACTACACTCACCACTGCACTCACCACTACTACACTCCCCACTTTAATCACCACTACACTCACCACTACTACACTCACCACTACACTCACCACTAGTACACTCACCACTACACTCACCACCACTACACTCACCACTACACTCACCACTAGTACACTCACCACTACTACACTCACCACTACAATCACCACTACACTCACCACTAGTACACTCACCACCACTACACTCACCACTACACTCACCACTACTACACTCACCACTACACTCACCACCACTACACTCACCACTACACTCACCACTACACTCACCACCACTACACTCACCACTACTACACTCACCACTACACTCACCACCACTACACTCACCACTACACTCACCACTACACTCACCACCACTACACTCACCACTACACTCACCACTACTACACTCACCACTAGTACACTCACCACTACAATCACCACTAGTACACTCACCCCTACACTCACCACTACTACACTCACCACCACTACACCCACCACTAGTACACTCACCACTACTACACTCACCACTAGTACACTCACCACTAGTACACTCACCACTAGTACACTCACCACTACACTCACCACTACAATCACCCCTACAATCACCACTACAATCACCACTACTACACTCACCACTACAATCACCACTAGGACACTCACCACTACACTCACCACTAGTACACTCACCACTAGTACACTCACCACTACTACACTCACCCCTACTACACTCACTACTACACTCACCACTAGTACACTCACCACTACAATCACCACTACTACACTCACCCCTACTACACTCACTACTACACTCACCACTACTACACTCACCACTTTAATCACCACTACACTCACCACTACTACACTCACCACTACACTCACCACTAGTACACTCACCACTACACTCACCACCACTACACTCACCACTACACTCACCACTAGTACACTCACCACTACTACACTCACCACTACAATCACCACTACACTCACCACTAGTACACTCACCACCACTACACTCACCACTACACTCACCACTACTACACTCACCACTACACTCACCACCACTACACTCACCACTACACTCACCACTACACTCACCACCACTACACTCACCACTACTACACTCACCACTACACTCACCACCACTACACTCACCACTACACTCACCACTACACTCACCACCACTACACTCACCACTACACTCACCACTACTACACTCACCACTAGTACACTCACCACTACAATCACCACTAGTACACTCACCCCTACACTCACCACTACTACACTCACCACCACTACACCCACCACTAGTACACTCACCACTACTACACTCACCACTAGTACACTCACCACTAGTACACTCACCACTAGTACACTCACCACTACACTCACCACTACAATCACCCCTACAATCACCACTACAATCACCACTACTACACTCACCACTACAATCACCACTAGGACACTCACCACTACACTCACCACTAGTACACTCACCACTAGTACACTCACCACTACTACACTCACCCCTACTACACTCACTACTACACTCACCACTAGTACACTCACCACTACAATCACCACTACTACACTCACCCCTACTACACTCACTACTACACTCACCACTACTACACTCACCACTACAATCACCACTACACTCACCACTACAATCACCACTACTACAATCACCACTACACTAACCACTACTACACTCACCACTACTACAATCACCCCTACACTCACCACTAGTACACTCACCACTACTACAATCACCACTACAATCACCACTAGTACACTCACCACTACAATCACCACTAGTACACTCACCACTACTACACTCACTACTAGTACACTCACCACTACTACACTCACCCCTACAATCACCACTACACTCACCACTACTACACTCACTACTACACTCACCACTAGTACACTCACCACTACACTTGCCACTAGTACACTCACCACTACACTCACCACTAGTACACTCACCACTACACTCACCACTACTACACTCACCACTACACTTACCACTACAATCACCACTACACTCACCACTACACTCACCACTACTACAATCACCACTAATACACTCACCACTACAATCACCACTACTACACTCACCACTACACTCACCACTACTACACTAACCACTACAATCACCACTACACTCACCACTACAATCACCACTACACTCACCACTACTACACTCACCACTACTACACTCACCACTACACTCACCACTACACTCACCACTACAATCACCACTACTACAATCACCACTACTACACTCACTACTACACTCACCACTACTACACTCACCACTACTACACTCACCACTACAATCACCACTACTACAATCACCACTACACTCACCACTACTACACTCACCACTACTACAATCACCCCTACACTCACCACTAGTACACTCACCACTACAATCACCATTAGTACACTCACCACTACTACACTCACCCCTACAATCACCACCACACACACCACTACTACACTCACTACTACACTCACCACTAGTACACTCACCACTACACTCACCACTAGTACACTCACCACTACACTCACCACTAGTACACTCACCACTACACTCACCACTACTACACTCACCACTACAATCACCACTATACTCACCACTACACTCACCACTACTACACTCACCACTAGTACACTCACCCCTACAATCACCACTACTACAATCACCACTACTACACTCACCACTACAATCACCACTACTACACTCACCACTACACTCACCACTACTACACTCACCCCTACACTCACCCCTACAATCACCACTACTACAATCAACACTAGTACACTGACCCCTACACTCACCACTACACTCACCACTAGTACACTCACCACTACACTCACGACTACAATCACCACTACTACACTCACGACTACAATCACCACTACTACACTCACCACTACTACACTCACCCCAACACTCACCACTAGTACACTCACCCCTACACTCACCACTACTACACTCACCCCTACAATCACCACTACTGCAATCACCACTAGTACACTCACCCCTACAATCACCACTACACTCACCACTAGTACACTCACCACTACACTCACCCCTACAATCACCACTAGTACACTCACCACTACAATCACCACTAGTACACTCACCCCTACAATCACCACTACTACACTCACCCCTACAATCACCACTACACTCACCACTACAGTCACCACGACTACAATCACCACTAGTACACTCACCACTACTACACTCACCCCTACAATCACCACTAGTACAATCACCACTAGTACACTCACCACTACGCTCACCACTACACTCACCACTACACTTATCACTACTACAATCACCACTAGTACACTCACCACTACACTCACCACACAATCACCACTACTACAATCACCACTAGTACACTCACCACTACACTCACCACTACAATCACCACCGCTACACTCACCACGACACTCACCACTACACTCACCACGACAATCACCACTATTACACTCACCACTACTACAATCACCACTACAATCACCACCGCTAGACTCACCACTACTACAGTCACCACTACAATCACCACCGCTACACTCACCACGACACTCACCACTACACTCACCACTACTACACTCACCACTACTACACTCACCACAACACTCACCACTACAATCACCACCGCTATACTCACCACTACACTCACCACTAGTACACTCACCACTACACTCACCACTACAATCTCACCACTACAATCTCACCACTACAATCACCACCGCTACGCTCACCACTACACTCACCACTAGTACACTCACCACTACACTCACCACTACAATCACCACCACTACACTCACCACTACACTCACCACTAGTACACTCACCACTACACTCACCACTACAATCACCACTACACTCACCACTACAATCACCACCACTACACGCACCACTACACTCACCACTAGTACAATCACCACTACAATCACCACTACACTCACCACGAGTACACTCACCACTACAATCACCACTACACTCACCACTACACACACCACTAGTACACTCACCACTACAATCACCACTACTACACTCACCACTACACTCACCACTAGTACACTCACCGCTACAATCACCACTACTACACTCACCACTACACTCACCACTAGTACACTCACCGCTACAATCACCACTACACTCACCGCTAGAATCACCACAGCTACACTCACCACTACAATCACCACCACTACACTCACCACTAGTACACTCACCACTACAAAGACGACTACACTCACCACTACACTCACCACTAGCACACTCACCACTACAATCACCACTACAATCACCACCACTACACTCACCACTACACTCACCACTAGTACACTCACCACTACAATCACCATTACTACACTCACCACTACACTCACCACTAGTACACTCACCGCTATAATCACCACTACACTCACCGCTAGAATCACCACAACTACACTGACCACTACAATCACCACCACTACACTCACCACTAGTCCACTCACCACTAGTACACTCACCACTACAAAAACAAC